ACAATAGGCAATGTGTTATGCGTATGGTTTATAGAGGTTATCTGAGGAACTCCAACCAGAACCCAAATTCAAAAAGTCTTGGGCCTACATCAAAGTATTAGAAGATAATTATTCATACATCTTAAGTTAAAATAAAATGTTTAAGTATACATCCGTCAATTAGAATTTGCACTTGACTACTAGTATCCAAGATCCACACTTATTGTGTAATAAGTCACACAAGGTCTTATTTTCTCACTGAAAGGAAGGCCTGAGATAGGGAGAGTTTGGCAGCAAAGTTATCAGCAATCAGGCTCCTTTTATGCCATCTCCAGTGGCGTATAAGATGGCTGCCAGGGCTCTGACCATCATAAATGAATTCCAGATAGGAAGCAAGAGGAAAAGGAGAAGAATGAAAAAGTTATTTCCCAGAAGTCACACTCAACAGAATCCACTTATATCTCATTGACCAGCTCTAACTGCAGAGGAGGCTGAGAAATGTCTTTTGGTTAGTACACTGCCTATGCAGAATGAAACCTCAGTTTTATTGGTAAGGATGAAGGGAAGAATGAAAATTATTTAGGCAGCTAACAGGCCCTGCCAGTGTATATAATTTTGTAATGATTTCCTGAGTTAGTGACTTAAAATTAATTAACCAGCCCTAATGGCATCAGAGAAGAGAGCATCTACTCTACAACCCATTCAAGTGGGATACTGGAAAGCTGTTTGGATTTGGTTTTTTTACTCATGTGGCATATAAAAGGTATAAAATCAGCTAAAATCTGAAAATATGAGACTTGAAGGTTGGTCAGAGTTTAATCGTGTGACATGACAGCCTGTTGGATGAACTCATAGAAGGGTAGAAAGAAAAAGAAAGTCTAGGACATCAGCTCAGATAATCATAGTTAAAGAAGAGTGAAGAATGTTAAAATAAAAAAATTAGAAAGGATAGAATATTATATCATGAAGATGAAGGGTGAAAAAAGTGGGTGATCAGCATCAAATGAGATAAACAGGTGAATGCGGACTAATTAAGCCTTTGGGTTTAATGGTAGTCACTGGAAATATTCAAAGGAATAGTTTTGGACCTCAGTATTTATCTTGGAGGCTTTCTTTAAATGTCTAGTGATCCTTGGCTTTCCATTCATAATTAAAGGGTAAGTTGATTGGACTATCTGTTTATGTGGGCATTTTATTAATTAAAGGACTTTACTGTCAACTTGGGGAGGGCGCTAAGGGACCTAACCATTTTGTTGAGGGTACTCCCAAAACATCACCTTGAGGTTATTTCCTCTGAGACCTCAAGATTTATTTAGAGAAAAATCTCCTTCATGGGGTGTACACACATGGCTATCAGTGCTCTGAGAGCAAAGAGTGGAAAGGGGCAGGGGTGGGTCTCACTATTCAGTACAGAGACTTTCATTTAGTCTGGTTTTTTGCTTGACATGAGGTCCTTGAATCTGGGTCTCCTCTGGTTCAAACTCTCTGCCAACTAATCCTCGTATTTCACAGAAATGACTAGGGGTGAGCTAGTAACTTGGCTACGTGTCCTAAGGATGGTGAACTAGACCTAGAAGTCTAACTACTTTGTACAGATTTTCAATCAATCCTCTGGTCTTTCCTTCCACACCTTCCCATTGATGAGGTACTTCCAGTTTATGAGGCTGTGGTACAATAAGACATATATTTGGTCTTTGTCCCCAGTTCCTGACACACAGCTCCTAAAACCTTTGGAATTTCCTGACTGATAGTATCTTTTGTTACTCAGAAGGTGCCCCTTTTGAGCACACATTTTATGCTAATGAGGTGACTTAGGGGAGAGCTCCTAGATGGCCTCAGGATGGGGCTGGTCACCAGAAAGACCAGGTGATTAGAGGGCTGGAACTTTCAGCCCCAACCACAGATTGCCAGGAAAGGGAGAGGGGGACTAGAGATTAAGCTCTATAAAAAATTCTTAAACAGGAGATTTGGTGAGCTCCTGGGTTAGTGAACACGTGGAGGTTCTGGGAGGGTGGTGCACAAAGAGAGGGCATGGAAACTCTGTGCCCCTTCTCCCTACCTTGCCATATGCATCTCTTCCATGTGGCTGTTACAGAGTGTATCCTTTCATAGTAAATCAACCAACGTAAGTAAATATTTCCCTGAGTTCTGGGAGCCATTCTAGCAAATTCTTGAACCTGAGGAAGGAGTCATGGGAAGGTCAATTTATAGCTGGTTGGTCAGAAGTAGAGGTCGCAACCTGGACTTGTAATTGGCACCTGAAGTGGGGGTAGTCTTGAGTCAGGGTTCTCCAGAGAAACTGAACCAATAGTATATAGATAGATATAAGAGGAGTTTTATGACAGGAATTGGCTCATATGGCTATGGAGGCCAAGAAGTCCCATACATTTCTTGTTGTGTGCAAGCTGGAAAAACAGGAAAGCTGGTGGTATAATTCAGCTTGATTCCAAATACCTGAGAACAAGGAGCACCACTGTGTGAGGGCAGAAGATAGACACCCCAGCTCAAGAAGAGAGAATCTGCCTTTCCTTTGCCTTTTTGTTCCACTGGGGTTCCCAACAGATTGGATGATGACCACCCACATCAGTGAGGGCAGATCTCTTCTCAGTCTGGTGAGTCAAACGCTAATTTCTTCCAGAAACACCCTCACAGACACATCCAGAAATAATGTTTTACCAGCTAACTGGGCATCCCTTAGGCTAGTCAAGTTGACACATAAAATGAGCCATAACATTTTAACCTCTGGGATCTGATGCTATCTCCAGGGGGACAGTGTCAGAATTCAGTTAAATGTGTAGGACATCTAGTCAGCGTCTGTCAAGAATTGGAGAACTGCTTGGTGTGAGATAAACCCCCACATACCTAGTGTCAGAAGTACTGAGAATAGAAGAGAAAAATAAAATTTCCCTTTACAGAGCCTTTCTGGAGTACTGAAGTATGAATTACAAGTTTCCCTCCCCCACTATCCGAAAGGAGAGCATTCCCATGAAACCTTTCCTAAACCGAAATGGTATAAAGCGAAGACACAATTACCTTGGGGACACATCTTGCTAACAGATGCACAAAATAAATCGAGATGCTCAAAGACACAGTTCAAAGCTATGGCAGCTTGATGCTGAGATGCTCTGTACAGCTCTTACAATAGAACACACTAACACCTCTCATTCTCTATTGTCTCTTCAGCACTCTTTGTCTTTGTGGGTTTTACATTTTCTCATTTCAGTGGGGTTTCACAGGGAAACAAAATAACACGTTTCACCTCTCAAATTAAATCAAAAGTCACTTTGTGGAATATGTTTCCAAAATTATGAACTTTAAAAATCAATGATGAAAAAAAAAAAAAAATCAATGATGGAGTTTTCAATTTCTTTGTTTTTTTCTGATTAGAAAAGTAATGCTTGCTCACTATGATAATCCAAATAATACAGAAATATCTAACAAAGAAAGTCTCTAATAGTCCTAACTCTAGACAAAGTCACAGGTTGGTTTCTATCAAATAAACTGTTTAGTGATTCTATGCTTATAAAACATATGATAGGAGAAAACATAAAGATATTAAAATATTAACAACAGTTAACTCTGGATAGTGGGATTAATGGATTTTCCCCTTCTTTTTGTTTATCTGTATTTTCTAATGTGCCCAAAGAAACATCTAATTTTTTTTTGGAACTTTTTTATTTAAAAAAACTTATAATGTTAAACTATAAGTATCTTCCTTAAAATATGTGTAATTATATACAAAGTCTTCTTTTTGCAGTTTTTTGAAATGAAAATTTTCACTTAAAACAATATTCCAAGAATAAAATAGTAAAAGGCTCTCATATCTACAAATTAAGAGAAATTTAAAATTATAATTAATAGTAGCCAACGAGTCAGTATAACCTACCATAAAGTTTCCATCACTTAGTTTTGTAACTCAGTTTTGTAATTTGTTTTAAGATAAACAGGTACTTAAGCCTGAAGAGTTTCACAGATGAGCACACTCTCAATTCTTCCTTTAAACGTCCTTCACCAGATCGTCTGGAAATCTGGAAGCCTTACTCATCTGCCAGGTCTCCCATGGAGGTATTACTCTCTCGAAACATTGTGATTCTTGTCCACTCTCTGGGGCTCCAAACGACTTTTACCAAAGCTACTCATTCATCACCATAAGTTAGATAATAGCCAAAGTGAACGGAATGAATTGTACAACGCCATTTACCGGCTGTTTTTAGTATTATAAAGACACAAATCAGTATTATAAAGACACAAATCAGGGAACCACTTTCCACAGGCAATTCACAAAGACTGCCTTAAAAGACCTCACGTCAACATTTCTACCCAAATATCCTACTGATACCCTAAACCCAATGGCCATTTATCTTGAATGACAGTCGTTCAAAAATTGGTTATCAACCCCCACCCCAAACACAAGCTTAGTCAGGTCTATCTAGTTCTCAGTAACCAGGACGGTGACCCTCACGAGTTAACGCGAGGGTGTGAGCCTGCTCATCTGCCGGGCCCCTCACCTGCTAATAGTCTACTCTCTCGTATCAGCTTCGCTGTATCAGTGCGGTCTAGCGGGTGGAGGCGGGGGGGGGGGGTTCGGGGCAGCGGGCCCCTCCACTCCCGCTTTCCCGCCCCGGTCTTCCCCGCCTTTCGCTACGCAGGCAGCGGCCCGCACCTGACCCGACCTTTTGGCCTGGGCCTCGCCTCTCCCTCCTCCTCTGCAGTTCCTCGCCTGCACTGGGCCAGGCCTCGGAGGAAAGCCTCGATTGACTCACGCGCCCGGCTAGTTACGCGTGTGAGAAAGATTAACCGCCTACATTCTCGAGGCCAGGCCTTCATAACTTCCCTCGCTCCGCCCAGTTCCCCAACTGGAGCACCCACACTGGCACCGGGGAGACCGGCAGGAGCGCGAGGACGCCTCTCCGCACGCGCGCCGCGCCGCCCCGCCCTTCCATCGGCCTGAGGAACCGGGGGCCAGTAAGAGCGTGCCTCGCCTCCGCGCCCGGCGCTCCGTCGCGCACCCTCCACCTTTCCGGGCGGCATTAGTACACAATAGTCGGCTCGCGGCATTTAAGCTTGCCGTGTTCCTGCAAGTTGTCACCCGTAGAAACAGCCTTCCCCGGGGCGGCCTCGAAGCTCCTGCGGAGTGACGGGAAGAGGCTGGTGGAGGGGAGGGGGAGACAAGGAAGACTTTAATTTTAAAGAAAGACTTTCGCCCTCGCGACCTCCCCCGCACTCATCTCAGGATAGAAACGCCCCTTGACTGAGCTAATGGTGTTGTGTTAAAGGAAAGAGATGGTTTTTCTTTTAAATGTAACAGTTTCTTCCTTCTGAGGTAACGCGGGGCCAGTGCGTACCCAGAATTCCCGAGGTCTCTCGTGGCGTGTTTCCGGTTATTGTGCTCTCGCGGCAGCGGCAGGGCGAGGCTCGGACGACCGGCGTCCGCTTCTCTCAGCCCCTGGTCTGGCGGGCTCGTCACCCGTTGCCCGTTTCTCTCAGCAAATTAACAGTTTCCTAGTATTTTGTGATTGTAAGAAGAACACTGCTTTTTAAAAAAATGCCTACTCCCTGCAACTGTCCAGTAGTAAGTACATAAACTTGTATGAAAGAAACTTAAACTCACCCACGATCTCGTCGCCCAGAAATAACCGTATTAACGTAGTGCTGTATAAACTTGGAGACTTTTCCATATATACACGTAAAGCTTTTTTTAAAATAGGAAAATGTGAGCATGTTATATTCTCCAAATAATGTCTCATACCTTTCCAGATAAAGTAGGCTACGTAATCATTTTTAATGGCTATGTGTATGTAATGGCATTTAATGGCTATATGGTTATAATATGTACAACCAACCCCTAAATTGTTGGACTTTTAGGGTATTTACAGTTTTTTACTTGTGCAAGCAAAACTAGATGAGTGTTCTTATACATAAACTGTACATATCCCTGATAATTTCCGTACTGTAAATTCATACAAATATAATTACTGGATCAAAGGGAATGCACATTTGTAAGATTCTAGATGTTGTTACCAGACTCTTCCCTTGAAAAGTATTGAATACTTTTCCACCAACATAGTGGCTAGTGAATGACAGCTGGGTCTTCCTCTCTTTGCCGGTCGAGTATTGTTAATCTTTGTGATCTTTGTCACCTTTTAAAAAAATCTTTTATCATCTTTATCGTCTTGTTCTAATTTGCATTTTGTTGACTAAGTGTAAAACTGAACATCTTCCGTATATTTATTGGGTCTGTTTCTGTGAATTGCCAGTTCATGATTTCTGCCTATTTGAAATAGTCACATTTTTTAAATTACAAGGGCTTTTTGTAAGTTAGGAATATTATTAACCTTTGTCTAAAACATAATCACAAGTATTTTTCAATTTTTCAATTTATCTTTAAATATAGCCTGTGGTGTTTATTTGCTGAAGGAAGTTTTTCTTTCCTTTGTTTTCTTTATATGGCTTCCACCCAATAAAACTTTTATTGGAAGAAAAAAAGGGACGTCTAGCAAAAAGAACATACGATGCCAGATGGACTAATACAATTAGCAAAGGATACAGTTCATCTCTAGGTTATTTGTATATTATCAGTTTCAGTTAAAATGCAAAAATATATATATACTTTATAGATCTCAAGAAAACAATACTAAAACTCACTTAAGAAAAAGTACATGGTTATAACTTTCAAAGAAAGTTATTTTAAAAGGGGAGAGAGAAGCAGAGTAGAGAATGGACTATCCTGACATGATGCGTGGGCTAAATAGAAAGACAGTAGGAGTACAAGAAAAGTACATGATAAGGTTATATAAAATGTTTACCATAAAATTATATATGTTCAGTTTTGTATTATGTAAAAACTGTTTATATAGAATTAATCAGAATCAGAACCCATAAATAGGTGCAAATGAGTAGTAAGTTTAAGGTGATGGGGTTCTTGTGAAGTTTTTCATTTTTAGGTAGGTCTTTTCCTTTATTTACATTTACAGCTTTAATGTCATGCTTAGCAGTGTATATTTTCTTCTAACGTTTTTAGGTATCTTCTTAAAAATATTTCAATAGTTAATCCTTCTGAAATTTGTTTAGGAGGAGGAAAGGAAGAATCTAGCTTAATATTTTTTTCCCTAAACGACTTGATGGTGCCCTATACCATTTATTGAATGCTCAGTCTTCCCTGTAGATTTGAAATTCTACCTTTATACAGTACTAAATTTCCATATGTACTTTATTTTCTATTCCATTGATTTATTTGTTATTGGATAATAATAATATTGTTTTAGTGTACTTTTAAATTATTTTTAAATTTCTGGTAGGGTAAATCCCTGCTTAGTGGTCTTCTTTTTTGGAGTATTTCTTTAAGAAGTGTCTTTTTGTAGAGAATGGACTTGAGGACACGGGGAGGGGGAAGGGTAAGCTGGGACGAAGTGAGAGAGTGGCATGGACATGTATACACTACCAAATGTAAAATAGATAGCCAGTGGGAAGCAGCTGCATAGCACAGGGAGAACAGCTTGGTGCTTTGTAACCACCTAGAGGGGAGGGATAGGGAGGGTGGGAGGGTGACGCAAGAGGGAGGAGATATGGGGATATATGTATACGTATAGCTGATTCACTTTGTTATACAGCAGAAACTAACACACCATTATAAAGCAAGATGTTAAAAAAAAGACGTTAAAAAAAAAGACACTGGGGTTTGTGTTAGTCATTATCCCTCTTATAAGCATAGAAAAAAGGGAATAATCAGAATCATTGACATAGGAAGAGCGGTGTTACTGGTGTTTTACCAAGAAAAAAAGAAGTGTCTTTCAAAAATATATTTGATATATATAAAAGAAAATTTTGTCATATATGTACATTAAAAAACATAATGTGAAACAAACCACCAATGTAATATCTAGAACATAACCAATAACTTGCATCAGTCTCTGTGCTCTTCACATTCTACCTATGCTTTTCTCTCCATAGATATTTCTTCCATAGTAACTTTAAAATTATTTTATCAAATTAAGAGTTGTGATTTTGATTTGAATTGCATTAATTTTATAGACTAATTTAGGGGAAATGGGCATCTTTATAAAAGTAATAAAATACTTATGTGGTTTTTACTGAGTGCTTTATATGTGTTAATTCATTTAATCCATGCAACAACTCTATTATCATCACCCTCATTTTACAGATGAGGAAACTGAAGCATAAAGAGATTGAATAACTTGTTGAAGGTCAAGCAGCTAATAAGTTGGCAAAGTCAAACTCAGGCAGTTTGGTCCCAGAGCCTGTGCTCTTAACCTCTGTATTGTATTTCATCTCCACAGTGTGGAATCTGCTCATCTATAATGGACATGTCATTCAATTTGCCTGCACCACTCACTCATGTTCCAGTCTGCATCCTTATCCCATGTTAGTAAGCAGATAGCCACTTAACCCTCTCCCTTCCCCTGCCATAGCTGCTTGGACCAGGAGTAGGTGGATAACGGATTCAAACTGGTCCAATCAGATTCTCTCTCAAGAAATTTGCAGTCAGTCTTACCTGGGCTCTTGACCTAGAAAGTGACGACACAAGGGTAAGGCAGGGAGAGACGTTTGACCCACGTGCAGGTAGTACAGAGAAAGCAGGCCTGCAGAGAGCAGCAGATGCACAGAGAGCAGCAGAGTTAGGAAGCCCTGTGGTCCCCAGAGAGGGTAGTGGGGTAGTTGCCTGGCGTTCTGGGGCTTTCCAGGTCCTGGTTTGCCCTACTAAGGTCTTACTGTCCTTTCTGCTTCTGGGGACCTACACAAGTTACCTCTCTTCAAATAAACTTCTCTTTCAGTTTAAAGTCACCTGATTCCTCTTCCTTTTGAAACCAAATATGCAGTCTAGAAATATGTGGTCCTCTATTTACCCAAGTTTTCTTTTAATGTTTCCCAGTGGCATTTTCTTCATAGATCCTGTACAGTTCTTGTTCAGTTCATTCCTAAATATATCTTAGGTGTTTTTTGCTCTTTACAGTGATAATATCTGTTACTGTTGTCCGCTTTACATTTTAATCTACAAAAATTCTACTTTCATCAGTTGAGTCTGCCAAATGTCAGTGGCTTGTAAGTGTGACATTAGCCTTTCAGATGTGTTTCAAAATGATATGTTTCCACTAGACATTTTTTTTAGTTCTATACTTTCAGTTGTTCTGGTGATGATTCATGTGAGGAGGATGATGATTCATCTGATGGGAGTGAGCCACAGGATCCCGAAGAAGTATAGAATTTCCTTAATTTAAAAAGAAAGTATCATATATGAATAGAAGCAGTGAGTTTCCAACAGTATTTACCTAATGTTAAAACAGATAAAATGAAGAAAGCTTTTTTTGGGGGGCCACACCGTGCGGCTTGTGGGATTTTAGTTCCCTGACCAGGGATTGAACCTAGGCCCACAGCAGTGAGAGCACAGAGTCCTAGCTACTGGACCGCCAGGGAATTCCCAAAAGCTATTTTCATTAAGACCAGTTTTTCAGATACAAAATGAGAAAACAATAGGGGGCATTATTTAGATAAATATTTCAAATACAGTAGACAAAAATACAGGGATTAGAGAAATTGATATCTCAATACAGGCACATAATCCTTCATCCAAACCCTTTGGGCCAAATGTGTTTCAGAATTCAGAATTGTTGGGATTTTAGACAGGAATATAATGCATATACCATATTTTCTATAACACCTCAGTCGGGTCTGGAGTAGCATCTTAGAATCAAACATATTAATATTCATGCCACAAAAATGCATTAGTATTAACACTAATTTGGATAAAGCCCTATAACATAAAATAACTACATATCTGTTTGGGTCAGATTTTGCTGCTAAATGAATTTGCCTTAAACTTGTGAAAAATTTTACGTTTCTAGAGCTTTTTTGGAATTTGGAATTTTAGATAATGGTTTATAGACCTGTGCAAGCAAGTATGTTCTGATTTCAACATCTGGCCAGCTCTGGGGTTCAATTAAAGCGTTCTTTGAAGTCCTGGCTATGTTAGATAGTCTTGTGGTTTGGGGTGTTTAGTCTGAAGGGAAGAGAGTTCACTTTTAGAAGAACAAAATACAGACTTTGAAGTAATTATTGAAAAAGTAATGGGTAAAGTATCTTAACTTGAATTCTTGACCTTTGTCATCAGTCATTTCAGTGTGAGGTGTTCTGGTTGAAAAGAATTGTAATAAACAATAACACTTCCTAGAAAATCTTAACATTAAAAATTGCCTTATTTATCCTTAAGCCTATTGATGAAGGGATCCTTGGTGTGTTTTCATCCTTTATTTTTAGCCCATAGAAGCACTGCCTTCTAAATAACATATGACTGTAAAAATATTGTTTCAGTTGAGTCTTTTAAGGTATCAAAATTAAGGAACCTATTCAGTCATTATATACATTGAGTGCCTACTCTGTCAGACTGTGCTAAGTGCTGAGGATATAGTCTGGTGGGAGAGAGACACACATAAATAGGACATTATAATATCCTGTGATAAGTGATGGGATAGGGTAAGTACAGTGTGCCGTGGAACACCATGTTCTGGGGTGAGGGAAGGACTGAAGGTTAAGTAAGAAATTAGGCAAGTGAAATGG